CTATGAACCAGAGGAAATTGAATGAATTCCAAGTTGTTACAGTTTGTCATTGGCTTAATTTCATGACACACATTCCTTCTTTCCTCTATATTGCATGCACTTATTTTTTTTACTTAAAAGTAAATCAGAATTAATTCTCGCCCTGACCGGTATGGCTCAGTGGATAGAGCGTTGCCCTGCGGACTCAAGGGTCCCAGGTTCGATTCCGGTCAAGGGCATGTACCTTGGTTGCGGGCATATACCCAGTAGGGAGTGTGCAAGAGGCAGCTGATCGATGTTTCTCACTCATCAATGTTTCTAACTCTCTATCTCTCTTCCTTCCTCTCTGTAAAAACTCAATAAAATATATTTAAAAAAAAAAAAAAGTTTTTTTAAATCTCAAACCAATAACTTATGATCCAACAATCAGACAATTTTGTAAAAAAGTCGTACTATATTAAGCACAATTAAAAATGAAAACAATGAAGCTCTTAGTCTTACCATTATGAAAAGGCCACCATTCTGTTCTACTTCAGCAGTTTCCATCAGAAGTTCAATTGCCTTTTTGTTCCCAATAATACTCACTACTCGGGCTATCAGATCTTTCTTTGGTTCCTGCAACCTGAGAAGGAACAAATAAAGTAATATTAACTTCTTTATTTGTTGTATAAAGTTAAAGAAATCTACCTTAGTTTCGTTCAGTCCTCAACTAGAATTTAAGTCTATTCTAATAACATTTGTTTTTCAAAATCTTCAATATTTAACTTTGAAATCGATGACATGGAGACATTCCTATCATGAGTCACCCAAGGAGTAGAAACCTCAAGATTTCATCTTAAGTCTCATAACTGGCCTCTTCATTTGCTTTATTGGATTATGGTAGATTTCAAAGTAAATGTACACAGGGCTTGCCTAAGCAGCACATATACTAAAATTGGGAAGACAGAGATTAGCATGGCTTCTGCGCAAGGATGACACACAAATTCGAGAAGCGCTCCCTATTTTTTTTCACATTGATGTTTCACTCTCTCTCTTTTCCTCTCTCCCAAATTAACAAAAACATATTTATTTTAAAAGTAAATGTGCACATACACTTAGGGGAATGCAAGCCTAAAAGCAGAAGATAAAACTAGTCCACTCCTGTCAAAACAAATAACATATACTAGCTTTCAATTATTGTTTTGTTTTTAGCACATTTTATTGATTTTTTTACAAAGAGGAATGGAGAGGGATAGAGAGTTAGAAACATCAATCAGCTGCCTCCTGCACACTCCCTACTGGGTATGTGCCCACAAGCCAGGTACATGCCCTTGACCAGAATCGAACCTGGGACCCTTGAGTCCTCAGGCCAACGCTCTACCCACTGAGCAAAACCGATTAGGGCAAGCTTTCAATTATTTAGAGATATCTGGATAGGATTTTCCCCTCACAAACTCCCCACTTCAGAACAAAAGGTATGGCTAATATTCAATGAAGACTTATAGGATAAGCTCAATCCTAAGAACTTTATATGCATTATCTCAGTTAATTCTCTCAACAACCTTAAGAAAGAGGTAATATTACTTTCACTTTACCACTCAGAATTAAAAACACCAGGAACGCCCTAGCTGGTTTGGCTCAGTGGATAGAGCGTCGGACTCTGGACTGAAGGGTCCCGGGTTTGACTCTGGTCAAGGGCATATGCCCAGGTTACGGACTCAATCCCCAGTAGGGGGCGTGCAGGAGCCAGCCGATCAATGATTCTCATCATTGATGTTTCTATCTCTCCCTCCCTCTCTGAAATCAATAAAAATACATTTCAAACAAACAAACAAACAAAAAACACCAGGAGCCTAAGTAACACTTGTAATGTCAGAGCCCACACTCTAGAGATGAAGGAGGATTAATATTGCAGAAGTCTACCAGTTCCCTAACTAGGCCTGGCTTCCTGTTTCTTCTCAATAGGAGGCAAAGAGCACTAGACTAGGAAAAAGGGACCAGAGTTTAATTCCGGGTCTGACACATAAAATTTGTGACTTCAGGCAAGCCACGCAACTGTTGGGCTTCAGTTTCCATATTCTACAAAGTGAAAACTTTGGTTTACAAAATCTAAGTTCCTTTCCAGCACTCACATTCCAAATTCCTCAGTAGTTTAAAAATCCAGTATTGACAGGCTTGCCCGGAAAGTAAATGCTTGTTTTCCTGATAGCTCTATTACTCTTGAACCATATTTGTTTTCAAGTTTATGACACTGTTCATTAGTGATTTAGAACTTATGAAAAGTTAAACAAAACTTGAACTTGTTAAAAATACATGCAATGTTAATTTACATCAAGCAATTCTACTCCGGGGAATTTACCCAAGAGAAATGAAAATCATGTCCAAAGACCTGACTGTGAAAGTGCATAATCTTATTCAGAGTAGCCAAAAGGTGGAATAGCCATTCAATACAGATATGTGTATATGTGTGTGTGTGTGTGTAATAAAACATTACACTAAGTAAAAAGCCAGGCACAAGAGCCCACACATTATGTAATTCTATTAATATGAAATGTCTATAAAATGCAAATTTATAACTACAGAAAGTAGATTAGCAGTTATCTGGAGCTGGGAACAGGGGTTACCTTTAAATGGGCGTATGGATATGAGGGGGATCTTATTGGAGTGATAGAAATGTTTTGAAAGTGGTTTATGGTGAGGGTTTTACAAAAATATCAACACATGACTGAAATGGGTACATTTTTACTCTATGTACAATATGCCTGAATCATATAACAAGTCATGAATGCTTGAAAACACTCAAAACTCCCCCCCCACATGATTTAAAAAGGTAATTTTTTTATCTAAAGAGCTCTTGAGCACTAAATGGAAAGAGTTGCTTATGAGTTCATAAAAGTTTGCAAAATTATTCTATCAATCTGTCCAAAGTTAATAAAATACAAATATATTCACACAACCAAATAGCCCAGAGTTCGTTCCTTAAATTAAAAAAAAAAAATCTTGCCGAAACTGGTTTGGCTCAGTGGATAGAGCATCGGCCTGCGGACTGAAAGGTCCCAGGTTCGATTCCGGTCAAGGGCATGTACCTGGGTTGCGGGCACATCCCCAGTAGGAGATGTGCAGGAGGCAGCTGATCGATGTTTCTAACTATCTCTCTCCCTTCCTCTTTGTAAAAAATCAATAAAATATATATAAAAAATAAAATAAAATAAAAAATCTTAAAAGGGAACATTATCATGAATGTATTTGGAATCTATTTTATTTCCTATAAATGGAAGATAGTTGGTCAAGAGCTCATTTGTATGAAAATTTTAAATGCTCACCTGAAAGTAATTTCATCAGCCACTCTCTCCTGAGAATCCTCCTCTGTGATCTCATACCGGCCTTTATAGTTCATTTCCAGTCTGTCCCCTAGTCGGTCTTTGACAGGTCGTTTCCGTTTGAGATGACCTTGCCCGTTTTCCTCTTCCTTTGAGCCTGTTTTCTTGCCATCTTGCATATATTCATCTAGCTCTTTGTCTAATTCTGTTGTCTGTTCTTGAGACTCCCTCTTAAGTTTCTTAGCAAGCAAATAATTGTAGGCCTCGCACTGTCTGCTTTTGTCAATAGTGCCTTCCATTTCCAAGATACCAAGTTCGTTGGCCACGGAATCTTGATTCTGCTCCTGCAGCACAGCACCCCAGATGTTGTTAACCTTCTTCCCTCCAGCAAAAGGCGGCTTCTGGCTGCCCTGGCCGAATGCAAAAGGCTCTAGTTTGGGAGGGGGGTTGAAACACTTCTGTCGCTTGCGTTTCCAAAGAGAGGTATCATCATCTGAATCAGAAAAACTCTCTTCACTGGAGTCTACACCTTTAACAGTCCGATAATGTGCCACTGGTGCATAGGCTGCTGCAGTGCCCTGGAAGGGCCTCACCGCACTGTCCCCAACTAGTGCTTTCTGGGAGAGAAAGGAAATAAATCAATTCCACAAAACACATCAACTCCACCCACCATGTGCTCTTTAAAGAAAAAATTATTTAGGGATTCAGCTGGACCATTTTGAAGCAGAACGGATCTTCAAAAATGAGAAACCAATTCAGTCCCTACTTTTCTAAAGGTCCATATGGAATTTCCAATTTTAAAGGCATAAATTCTTCTTTATAGAGCTAATGCAGAACTTAGTTCTAAGGCCTCCTTCTAAAAAATTACCAAAGCCCTTCATTCTCACCTTTAGAAGATTTGCAATCTTTTCAGTTCTTGCCAGAATGCTTGAAAATGATATACACACTAATTGTTATTAGTAGTTAAAACAGAATTTGTTTTCACTCTTTTTTTAATGTGTATTTCAGAGAGAGGAGGGAGAAGGAGAGAGAGACAGAAACATTGATGAGAAACATCCATCAGCTGCCTTCTGCACACCCCCCACTGGGGATCCAGCCTGAAACCCTGTCCAGGAAATGAACCAGTGACTGCCTTGTGCATGGAAGTTCGATCAACCAACTGAGCCACATCAGCTTGGCCAGAATTTGGTTTTTGCTTCCCAAATATGCCTTTTACTCATTTAAACACTTCAACTACCTTTCCACAGTTTGTGACTATACTCCTTTTAGATAGTAAACTATGGGTAGGAGTCCCGGACATATTACTTTTAAGCCCACCCAGTGTGGCTCAGTGGTTGAACATTCACCTATGAACCAGGCAATTACTGTTGGATTCCCAATCAGGGCACACGTCCAGGTTGCAGGCTCAATCCCCAGTAGGGGTTGCCCAGGAGGCAGCCGATTAATGATTCTCTTGCATCACTGATGTTTCTATTTCTCTCTCTCCCCTCTTCCTTCCTCTCTCTGAAATCAATGAAATATATCAAAATAAAAAATGCAGAGCCCTGCCCTGGCCACTGTGGCTCAATAGTTACAAGTGTTGGCCTGCACACTGCAGGGTCACAGTACCATCTCCCTCAAGGGCACCTATCTGGGTTGCGGGTTCAAATCTCGCCCTGGTTGGGGCGCATACAGGCAACCCACATATCGATGTTTCTCTGTCTTTCTCTCCCCACCCCACCTCCACCTTCCTCACTTGCACTCTCTAAAAATCAATGGAAAAAATATCCTCCAGTGAGGATTAACAACAAAAAGAAAATGCAGGGCCCTTGGCGTTAAATTTGCCAAGTCATCGGTCAATCTGTAAAACAACCGGAAAGACACTGAAAAACAAAATACCTCGGTGTCATTTTAATGCAAAAGAATCACCTTTGCTTTTTGTACTAAACACTAATGAAGTATTTGTTTAACTATTATGTGCTAGAAATGGGGGTGGGGTGAGTTAAACCAATTAGGCAATTTTCCTATCTTTTTTTTTAAAAACTTTTTTAAAATTTTTATTAATTTTTTTTAGAGAAAGAGGGATATATGCGTGTGTTTATTTATTTATTTATTAATTTATCAGTAAGAGAGAAACATGTGAGAACGGAACCTCCACGGGCTGCCTCCTGCACGACCCCCACCGGGATGAGCCCGCAGCCCAAGCCACACACCGGCCAGAGCAATCCCTCCGATCTTCAGATAATAATGGAGCTAAAAGCCCTACCCGGTTTGGCTCGGTGGACAGAGCATCGCCCTGCGGACTGAAGGGTCCCAGGTTCGATTCCAATCAAGGGCACATGCCCAGGTGGCCGGCTCGATCCCCAGTGGGGGTCGTGCAGGAGGCAGCCAATCAATGATTCTCTCTCATCATTGATGTTTCTATCTCTCTCTCCCTCCTCCTTCCTCTCTGAAATCAATACTAATATATCTTTTTTAAAAAAATAATGGAGCTAACATTACATTTCTCAGGTGGTAAGCTCCGCTGAATCCTCACCACCAGGGCGTCAGTGCGCACCGCTACCGAGCTCAGTCCACAGCCCGGCGCATTGGTTAGGCATTAACAACACGTGCATTAATAACCTGCCCCAGGTCACGGTGCCGGCGCCAAGGTTCCAAGCGGGCACCCCGGCACCAAAGCCCTCGCAGAGCTGGTTGCTCAGCGGGGTGTGGAGGGAGGACAAGCTCGCGTTTACAAAACCCGGAGACCAGCACGAAAATAGTGCCATGTGCCGCATGACAAAGCCAGGGGGGGTGGGCTATGGAAGACCAGGCTCCGAGCAGGTGATGAGCGCCATTCCCCATCCTCAATCCCCTGTCTGCTCTGGGCGACAACGAGCTCCACGCGCTTTCGGGCCGGGGTCCCGCCGGGACGTCCTGGCGG